GGACTCTCTCTGTCTGTCTGGCGAGCGCAAATGCCCTATAACTAAAACCCCTCAAAAAAAAAAAAAAAAAAGCCTACATGTACACAACTAAACAATGGGAAGCTGCTAAAGAAGAAAATCAAACACTCCCTATTCCAACACATGTCACCAACATCCAGGATTGTGCCTCAAGATGACAATATATTCCTAAAGTAAGACATCTTTGAGACCTTAGGAAGTTGAGTCCTAGGATGGATATAAGACAAGGGGAAACAAAAAACTTATAGCAGAAATTATAAAATCAATTGCTTACAGGAGTCAGGAATGTAATGGAAACAAATTAAATAGACTCTCACTCCACCAAAAGAGGGGTAGCACCTAAAGCAGGTTTAATTGCTTGTTGCCATGCAAAAATCAGGACACAAAGATGCCAGATGTTTCAATTCTTCAAGAACTAACGTTTAGATTTTGTCAATGCTTCTGATTTTTAAAAGCAGCAGCCAGTTTCTTTTTTTTTTTAAGAGGTTTTTGCTATAGAGCGCGTGCCCTTGCCAGAAAGACAGAGACAGAGAGACAGAAAGCGAGAAATCGCCCCCCAGGGGGATGGCCATGCCACAATCCTTTCTCATCCATTCTCCTCTTGGGATCTTGGGCACGCATGCATGCATGCAGGTCCAGTGTGAGTTTAAGCCACCAGGTCCAGGACTCAAACCATGGTTGACTACATGAGAGTCCAGTGAGATAGCCATTATGCCAACTGCTGGTCTGCCAGCCAGTTTCTTTCAATTGCTAGATGGTATGTGCAGTAGCCAGAGAGAGACAGAAAGAAAGAAAAAGAAAGCAACCAACAATGAAGCATGGTCACGCTGCAATCCCTTCTCCATTTGTCCACCCTGACAGGGATTTGGGCACACACATATGCCTGGTATATTCTTCAAGCTACCGGGGCTGAGATTCAAACCAAGGTCAGCCATATGGGGCCCAGCTCCCTTAACCTGTAGGCTATGGGGTGGGGTAGAGGAGGTTCATAACACATTTTTAAAAATTAGTTTTTAAAAATTATGTGAGGTCAAGAAGATACATCTAAGAAGACATATTCTGCCCTAGGACCTAAATATTTGCAGCCTTGGGTTTAAAGGCTAAAAGTTAGGTTAATATGAGACTGGAGGTGAGAAATGGACCTGCAAATAAATACATGTGACCTTGCTGGAATGGACAAAAGAAATAGGAATATAGCTCATCCATACCAGTGAAAGCAGGAAGGTACCACTGCATGATGGTTGAGCTGAGTGGGAGGCCTAGGTTCAATTTCCAGGCCAGACACAGGGGCACATGCCTAGAGTCCTAGCTAACTGGGAGGGTGAGGCAAGAGACTTGTGATCTGAAAATACCCTATCAAAAACAGCTCTCTCTTGCACCTGTGTACTTGTTTTCTCTCTCTCATGAAAAAATGGGGGGGGGGGGAAGAAATAGTGGATTAAAAACATAGATGGATAGGATAGAGCTAATTGCTAATGTTCTTTGAAATGAATATCTAAAATAAGAGCAAGGAGATGAGCTTCTCAAGGTCTGGGAGCAAGGGTCAGTTTAGCATTATATATGGTTCACAAAAAGACTCAAAATTTGCTGACTTAACATCTGTGAGTTAAGAATCACACATAATAAAATTAAAATTGAGAAGCAAAAGGATGGCTCTTAGAAGACAATTTTAATAGGCAGGATTTTTAAAAAATTATTTAATTCCATTTATTATTTTTTTTTCATTTGACCAGATAGAGAACGGGAAAATAAGAAAGCAAGCCACCAGGTCCAGGACTCGAATGGCAGTCAGTCATGTGAGAATCCAGTGCCTTTAACCACCATGCCACCTGCTGGCCCCAATAGGCAGGAATTTTAAAAGAAGATTAAAGTAAGAGAAAAGAATAAAGGTTAAGTGCTATTGGAAGGGAGATCCCACAGGGCCAACTGCAAGTTCAAATCCTGACTCTGGCAGCTTGAAAAGGTGAAAGGCGAAGCAGCTAAAGCTTAAGAGACAGGGACCAACAGATGGTGTAATGGTTATGTCACTGGACTCCCACATAGTCAACCACAGTTCAAGTCCTGGACCTGGAGGCTTAAAACTCACACCAAGCATGTGTGCATGCGTGCCTAAAATCCTTAGAGCAGAATGGAGAAGGAATTACAGCATGACCATCCCCCTGGGGGGTGAATTCTTGCCCCCCCTTTTTTAGAGAGGTTTTTGCTATAGGGTGGTGCATGTGCTAACCAAAAAGAGATAGAAAGCAAGAAATCACTCCCCAGGGGAATGACCACACTGAAATCTCCTCTATTCTCCTCTCGGGATCTTGGGCACACACACACACGCACCTGACATGAGTTTAAGCCACCGGGTCTGGGACTCGAACCGTGGTCGACTACATGGGAGTCCAGCGACATAGCCATTACGCCAACTGCTGGTCCCAATTTCTTGTTATCTTTTTGTCTCTCTGTTTCTCTGTATCTCCGGTGAGCACACGCACCCTACAGCAAAAACAAACAAACAAACAAACAAACAAACTTTTCTAATGTTCAAGGAACAAAATCAAGGAGATAAAAGATGGATTTAGACAATGACTTGACAGGTAGCAACATGCAGAGAATAAGCAGAAGGGTTTTGCGACTGAAAATAGGAGACAGAAAAAGAAAAACAGATTATGGAAGAAATTTAATCTGGGTCACATTTATATACCTTATTTTCTCAATTCTAGTGTGATCATTTTAATATTTCTAAAATCAAGATGATCTTTACAAATCAATGTCATTTCTCTACCCCCTCAAAACACTGTTCTAAAAACCACTAATATCTTTTAATTGATATTTTCTAATCATAGAGATGTGACATATACGGCAGTTCTTCTTTCTCTACAATAGAAAATAAATTAAAAGGGGAGCACGGGATGGATTTAAAAATAGGTAATTGGTGCCGATCACAAATGATGAGAACGCTAAAGAAAAAAAGAAACATTTGACCAACTCTAGAATATATCCAAATACAAAGAGGCAGTTAGAGGGCTGACCACTAGTTTAGTGGTTAAGAAAGCCAGTTCTTACATGGCTATAGTTCAAATCACAGCTCTGGTGGCTTGAAAGACATGCCAGGCAGGTTCATATGCATGCCCCAAATCCAGAGAGGATGGAGAAATGGAGGAAAGGAGATTTCACCATGGTCACCTCCACTGTGGAGGGCTCTCTCCTCTCTCTCGGTGTTTCTCTGGTGAGTACACATGCCCTCTGGCAATTTACAAAGAATGAAGCACTCAGAAAGAAGAAAAATGAACCAGAGCCACGCAAAATTAAGAGTCTATTCAAGAAGAAAGCATAATACATAGTTGCAAAAGAGAAATTGAACAGGGTGAAACTCAAACTAAATGTATCTTTAAAAGGAAATCTTTTTCCTTTTAAAGATTGGTGGCAGGTGGCATGGTGGCTAAGGGCACTAGACTCCCACATGGCCAACTATAGTTTGAGCCCCAGACTTGGCAGCTTTCTCTGCCCGCCCATTCCCCCCCCAACACACACTCTCTGATTCTCTCTGCTCTAACTGAAAACTAAATAAATAAAGTTAAATAAAATAATTATTTTTTAAGAGAAAAAGGAAATCTGAATCTGGAGCTTTGCTACAAGGCCACTAGCCAAGTGACTAACCTTCACCAGTCTTTTCAGGCCTTTTTTCCTGAGGGATTATATAGAGAGGTAAGGTACAAATACAAGGCCAAGGTAAGAACTCAAAGAAATTTCACATACAAAAGAGTAATATTTAGGTACTCAGTAAAAAGAGATGTATAAAATCACAGTGAGTTGTAAGTGACAATGGTTAGTCATTCCTAGAGAAGATATAAGAGGTAGTGGACTTTTTATTTTTTTAAATACGAAGATCACATGTGGAGATCACAAAATGCCAAATTAAAAGAACAGCTAAGATAAAGAATTACAAAAAAAAGAAGGAAGATTGGGAATTTATAGTTCATCAGAGCTAACTCTCAGTGTGCAGGAAAGAAGGGACTGGGGCAGTTAGAATTGAAGGACATATGCAATGGTATTTCTTTTACTATTAAAATTAAATTAAAAAAAAAGATTAAATTCTAAGTGTTCTTCCAAAACTCGTTTACTACCCAGATGAGAAGCAAGAAACACAGAATGACAAAGCAGAAAAAGCACAGCCCTCATCAAGAGGTGACCTATCTGGCAACCTCACATCTCTGCTTTGCAGCCAAAATGAACAGGACAAAATCCAAACCCTGGAAAATTACACAGAACTGGCTCTCAGACATCTCTCATTGTTAAAATAAACAACTATAAATAGCCTTGGTTATCTATCCAGTTTCAACTTAGAAGCAGCCAATAATATTAGAGGAAAGGGACAGACAACAAGGATATTTAATACTATTAAGGAACAATAGCTAGTATGGAAGTAAGAAAAAGGACTTAAAAAAAAAAGCAGTCATCAACCCCAAATACCTTCTGGAACCATTAACTATAGAAGGCATACCGCCCTACATATGTCAATAATCAAAAAAGTTTATATTGGGGTCGAAACTTTAGCCACTAAGATGGGCATACAATCTATTTAAGATGGTTAAAACACTTTAAATACCACATAAGGTGTAAGTGCATTACCTTGAAAACAAAGTTGCACATTTTAAATTCCAGAACAACAACAAAAACAACAATGACAACAACAAAAACCAACAAAAACACCGTATTTTCCAGCTTTGCAAAATATGGGCCATGGTAGAAAAAGAAGCTTAAACAAAAATCTTTGAATAACACAACTGGACAAGATGACAAAAATAATAGAGAAAAGGACAAGAGGCCAATTTCTGAATATTGACTATTGGTTAATATCCCTGTGATACTCTTCAATTTAACCCCTCAGGTTTCTTGCCTGTAAAATGCAGATACTAACACCACTTTCAGACTTTTAAAAGGTGACTAATCATCCAGAGAAAATAAGAATGAGTAAAGAGAAAGCCAGATGTTCTTAAATACATCTTGGTGCTTAAAAAAAAAGTGTGGTTTAATCAAAAAGTTTAAAATAAATACAGCTTTAAAATAACTATGAATCTTGTTTTGCATCTATACCCAAAGACTGTGTCATTTTATTTAAGTAAAAAGCTCAAGCAGTTTTATCTTGCAAAATGGATCTTATTTCCTCAACATTATCAGACATCATTTTATGTTTCTATCTTTAAATGAAAAGGAGGTGAGAGGACACTCACCTTGACTGAAAGTCTTCATTATCTGTGCTTGTCCGAGGACTTATGAGTAGATGACAAATTAAGGGAAAACAACTTTGGGGGAAAGAAATAATACACCTTTTAATACAATCCCTTAGCTTCCATGCCTAACTGGCTCTGTTCAGTCTGGTAGCACCAACAATACCATCTCTGCTCGTCTGCTGCATCATTTTGCACTTCAATTCCCCATTTACCCAGACCAAGGGATTCTGCTCTTTTAAGGAAGATTGGGAATTTATAGTTCATCAGAGCTAACTCTCAGTGTGCAGGAAAGAAGGGACTGGGGCAGTTAGAATTGAAGGACATATGCAATGGTATTTCTTTTACGATTAAAATTAAATTAAAAAAAAAGATTAAATTCTAAGTGTTCTTCCAAAACTCGTTTACTACCCAGATGAGAAGCAAGAAACACAGAATGACAAAGCAGAAAAAGCACAGCCCTCATCAAGAGGTGACCTATCTGGCAACCTCACATCTCTGCTTTGCAGCCAAAATGAACAGGACAAAATCCAAACCCTGGAAAATTACACAGAACTGGCTCTCAGACATCTCTCATTGTTAAAATAAACAACTATAAATAGCCTTGGTTATCTATCCAGTTTCAACTTAGAAGCAGCCAATAATATTAGAGGAAAGGGACAGACAACAAGGATATTTAATACTATTAAGGAACAATAGCTAGTATGGAAGTAAGAAAAAGGACTTAAAAAAAAAAGCAGTCATCAACCCCAAATACCTTCTGGAACCATTAACTATAGAAGGCATACCGCCCTACATATGTCAATAATCCTAAGGCATTACCAAACAGAAACTATGCAGATGATGATCTTAAGTGCTCAAAAAAGGCTATATTAGGGTCTGAACACTAGCCACTAAGATGGGCATACAATCTATTTAAGATGGTTAAAACACTTTAAATACCACATAAGGTGTAAGTGCATTACCTTGAAAACAAAGTTGCACATTTTAAATTCCAGAACAACAACAAAAACAACAATGACAACAACAAAAACCAACAAAAACACCGTATTTTCCAGCTTTGCAAAATATGGGCCATGGTAGAAAAAGAAGCTTAAACAAAAATCTTTGAATAACACAACTGGACAAGATGACAAAAATAATAGAGAAAAGGACAAGAGGCCAATTTCTGAATATTGACTATTGGTTAATATCCCTGTGATACTCTTCAATTTAACCCCTCAGGTTTCTTGCCTGTAAAATGCAGATACTAACACCACTTTCAGACTTTTAAAAGGTGACTAATCATCCAGAGAGAATAAGAATGAGTAAAGAGAAAGCCAGATGTTCTTAAATACATCTTGGTGCTTAAAAAAAAAGTGATGTTTAATCAAAAAGTTTAAAATAAATACAGCTTTAAAATAAATATGAATCTTGTTTTGCATCTATACCCAAAGACTGTGTCATTTTATTTAAGTAAAAAGCTCAAGCAGTTTTATCTTGCAAAATGGATCTTATTTCCTCAACATTATCAGACATCATTTTATGTTTCTATCTTTAAATGAAAAGGAGGTGAGAGGACACTCACCTTGACTGAAAGTCTTCATTATCTGTGCTTGTCCGAGGACTTATGAGTAGATGACAAATTAAGGGAAAACAACTTTGGGGGAAAGAAATAATACACCTTTTAATACAATCCCTTAGCTTCCATGCCTAACTGGCTCTGTTCAGTCTGGTAGCACCAACAATACCATCTCTGCTCGTCTGCTGCATCATTTTGCACTTCAATTCCCCATTTACCCAGACCAAGGGATTCTGCTCTTTTTCCTCCCCATGATTATAACACTAGAGAATCTATAAAACCCTTGTGGCATAAAACCACTCCATCACCACAGACGTGTTAAAAAAAAAAAATCAAGTCTCGTACTTCCAGATTTCACACATTTGAGAGGGTTAACTGGAAAGACCACTTAAAAGCTAATAAACAATATAATTCTGAACATGACTGGTATTAAAGTTTTCTATTACAATGGTTGAAAACATCAAAAAATGAAAAGGATATTGTTTCTTCTCTTCCTTTCCTCCTGAACTGTCCCGTTTCTCTTTCTTTTCTATCTTTTCTTTATCATGCCTGGACTCCTACAAGGAATGGTGGAATTAGTTGTGGAAGAGAAAACCAAATGTAAAAATGAGCTCGAATGAGCACAAACTCTTTTTCCCCCCCCTCTAGCCATAATTTTTCTTCAAAAACTTACTTAATATGAAACTAAAAGATAAGCAACAAAGAAAAAATTAGCTACATTAACCCTTACCAAAAGTAAAAATTTTCATACATTGAAGGATACTATCAGGCCAGTCCTCATAGCCTATTTGTTAAGGGAGCCAGATCCCACATGGCTGAGCATGGTCTAAGTTCCAGCCCCAGTAGCTTGAACAACACTGGGCATGTGTGTATGTGCACCCAAGATCCCCACAGAGTAGATAAATGGAAGAGAAGGGATTGCAATGTGACCATACCCCACGGAGGAGTGCTCCCCTACCCCCATCCCACTCTGGCTAGCACATACTCGCTCTGGCAATTTAAAAATAAAAAAAGATATTATCAAGAAAGTAAAAATCCTATCTATAGAATGTGAGAAAATATTTGCAAATGATGTGTCTCATATGGGTATCTGGAATATTTAAAGAATGCTTATAATTGAGCAGCAAAAAGACAAACATCCAATTAAAAATGGCCAAAGCACTTAGATTTCTCCTAACAAGATATACAAATAGTCAATAAGCAAATGAAAGGTGTTCAACATCATTAGCTGTTAGGGAAATGCAAATCGAAACTACAATGAGATGCCACTTCACACCTACTAGGATAATAAAAATAATAATAATAACAAATAGTGAGTGTTGAAATGAAATGTGGAGAATTTTAGACTCTGATACATTATGGCAGAAATGTAAACTATACAGACCCTATGGAAAACAGTCCAGTGGGTCCTAAAAAAGTTAAATACAACATACCATATATAGTTATATTACCATATAACCCAAGAGAACTGAAAATAGGTACAAATACTTCACAGCATCATTTGAATGTTCATAGCAGCACTGTTCTATAATAGCCACAAGGTGGAAATAATTCAAAAGTTCATCAACTGACAAATCGATAAACAGATGTGGTACATTCACATAATGGAGCATTAATTAGCCATAAAAAGAAATGAAGTAATAATAGACGAAAGAACCTCAAAAACATTATGTTAAGCGAAAGAAGTCAAACACAAAAGGCCACATTATTGTATGATTCCATCTATATGAAATATGCAGAACCAGGGACCAGCACTTGGCATAATGGCTATGTCGCTGGACTCCCACGTAGTCAACCGCGGTTCGAGTCCTGGACTCGGTGGCTTAAACTCACGTATGCATGCATGCCCAAAATCCTGAGAGGAAAATGGAGGAGAAGGGATTGCAGTGCGGCCATGCCCCCTAGGGGGTGATTTCTCACTTTCTGTCTCTCTCTGCCTTTCTGGCGAACCATGCGACCCTACAGCAAAAAGTTCTCTAAAAAAAAAAAAAAGAGGAAGAATATGCAGAACCAAAGAGGTAAACCCAAAGAGACAGAATGCAATTCAGTGGTTGCCAGGGGCTGGTTAAGGGTGAAATGGGGAGTGACTACTTAATGGGTACTTCGTTTTGGAGCAATAAAAAAAATTTAAAACTAGACAGGGGTGTCACTGGATTATACTTTAAAATGGCTAATTAACCTCCGTTAAAAAATATTTATTTAAAAGGAACATAGCCAGCTGCCATGGTGCAACCATAAAATAACACTCAGCAATGCTGCAGCCATAGGTTCACAAAGCAAGGCCTCCCTATAGCTATCAAGTGTATGTACCCATGATCTTGGCTGTGTGAAGATCTTGCCCCAGGGGGAGGGGGTGGGAGGAGCTGTGTGTGTATGTGTGTGTTTCTTAAAATAAATTAACTTTAAAATAAGTAATAGGTCCGACCTCATGGCAGTAAGTAGCAAACTGAGGTGGTGTTGTAAGCCACATTGCCAGACACAGGATCCCTAAGTCAGCCTGAAAATACACCAGGTGCATGCACACCTGCCCAAGATCCTGAGGAGCAATGAAACCTGGTCAAAGGTGACTGCCTGCCTACCCCTGCTCCCCCCATGTACAAACACACACACTATCATGAATAAAATAAATTATAGAAATAAATAAATCATAAAAAAATCTTTTTTTTTATTTAGACAGAAATTTTTGCTATAGGGCACATGTATGCCAGAGACACAGGGAGAGAGAAAGTGAAAAATTATCCCCAGGGGGATGGCCATGTCACAATCCCTTCTCCTCCATTCTCCTCTCAGAACCTTAAGCACACACCCTCATGTGCCCACCATGAGTTTCAGCTACCGGGTCTGGGACTCAAACCACTGCCAGACATGTGGGAATCCAACGCCTTAACTACTATGCCACCTACTGGCCCCAAGAAACAACCTATCTTCTAAAGCACATAAAATTAACACATTCACCTTATAGTTTTCTAAAACTGTCTTTTTTTCCCCCCCAGAGGTGTGAACTCTCACCACAGAAAGACAGAGAGGAGGAAGAAAGCACTACCCGAGGAGCATGGCCATGCTGCAATTCCTTCTTCATTTCTCCACCCTGTGGTGATTTGGGGCATGCACGCACTCATGTGGCATCTTTTTCAAGCCACCGAAGCCATGTGGTCAGCCATGTGGGATCTGGCTGCCTTGACCACCCTAAAACTGGACCTGAAAATTGCTTTTATGAACTATGAATATACGGCATATATCTTGAAAACATACAATAATAAGTAAACACTTTGGCAGATGCATGATATTTTGTATCAACCATTAGTATATAAGAAAAATGTACCTTGTACTTAATTTTAAAATCTAATACAAGTTTCAAGCAAATGAATTTATTAGGACAGGCTGCTACAAAAATGTGTTTCAAATCACAATTAATAAAGACTTTATGACACTCTGGTGATCAGGGAGAACACGTGTGTGACCACATATTAATCTTGGGAATAAAGAAAACTAAAAAATGGAAAAAGAATTGTTGATGGAGAAAAATGAAAATAAAAAGGCTCAAACTCAATGAACAAAAGTAGGTGGTAGCAAAATGGAAAGGAAAAGAATTTCTGAGGTATATCAATTCAACCAGTAATCTGGAACTGAACTGGTTCAAATTCTCCAAATAGATAATCTGCCCTTCCTAGATGCTTCCTCTTCCCAACCCTGAATAACAAAAGACAATTTGACTAGGAAAAAACTCTATCCAGCTAAATTTTTAAAGGTTTATTTCCTTTCAGAAAAGGTACGTTGTTGGGTTGGTTAGTTTGTTTTTCTAATTTACCTTTTTGCCACCAGAGGAAATTTTATCCATCTTCTCAGATTTAAATGAATCACCGCCTTTTTCTTTGCCTGAAGATTTTGACTTATTTTTTTCCTTGTCTTTCTCATTTGGATAAGGAGACTCACATGGACTTTCACTTTTGTGTTTTGAAACCCCCACTAACATTACAAAAGAGAATCATAAAAGCCTTTTCCAGTTCACTTTGATGATTGCTTCAAAGGTACCAATAAGTCTACGTACTTGTTCCATTTTCCTCTTTTCGCCTCTTGGTTAAGTCAGGTGGCACTTCACGGTCATTGTTTGAGTGATCCTAGAACCAAGAATTGTGGACTACATTGATCAAGGGTTATGTTTTGTTTTCAAACATTACTTTTATATAAGAAGGGTGCAGTTAACTAGCTTGGAGAGTATTTGCAGTAGTTTCGCATACTTGATAAAATGGCATGAAAGATAAGCATAGCTGGTAGAGATTACTAGGCTGAAGATCCTTATTACCATAGAAGACAACACACTCCAGGGTGAAAATATCAGTTAAAAGACAAAATAAAAGACTTTTATGAAACAAACTAGTATTTATAAAAAGTCAACAAACACACTATTGCACATGATAACAAGCTTTCTAAACTAGTTTTTAGAAAATTACAAACCCTTTTCCGTTCTTTCCTGTCCTTTTCATCTTTTTTCTCTCTTTCTCTGGATCTTTCCCTTGACTTGTCCAAATCTTTCTTGTCCATTTCTCTCTCCTTACTCTTGGACAGTGGTGGAGGAGTATGATTAATGTAGAGCTGTTAAATTAAGGCAATATTACTAAAGATTATTAGTTTTCCGGCACTGGCATTCCTTGCTTATTAAATGAAAGACAATTGGCAGTTAGACCCAAAGTCAAAACTGGTCAGCTGTCTGGATTATGAGTGGTAAAAGAAAAGAATATGGCACAAATTACAAAATGGCTTCAATTCTTGGCCTTATAAAAATTACCATTTAAACTCAATCAGTTCCTTGCTGCCTTCGCTGAGCTTCAGTAAAGTAATGAGCTAGAGTTCTCCTCATACCTCTACTGTGAAGACCTACAACCATCACTACAAAACTCCATATGTGAAAAATAATAACCAGGTAGTCGCTATTATTTAAAACACACACACACACACACACACACACACACACACACACCCCTCTACACAATCATGAAAAATTTAAACAGTCTTACGATCCATTAATAGGCAATCAATGATGACAATGAGCAACAGCATAAAAAATTAAAATCTTGCCTTGACTTTATTCATTTTTTTTCTACCTCAATGTAAACCATGCAGAAATTATACTATTTTTACAACTGTAAAGCCTTAATATTCTCCACTTTTGAAAGCGTTCTCATTTCTATCAAATAATCACAATTGGCTGTGAACTTTGCCTTATTGGTTCTAAATAGCTCAAAAACACCAGTCAGCTAAGGATGATTAAACAAGTCAAAGACAGAAGACGATGAATCAATATTCTCTTCTGCCTTCTTACTCTCCCCCAAAATCTATAAGCAATAAAAAGCCAAACATCAAGGATATTTTTACCCTATATCATTCAGAGATAGCCCTATTTACTCAAGTTGTAAATATGGAAATCCATTGTAACATCTGGGAAGTAGTCAGGAAATAAGCAGATTCCCTAACTTTCAGCATTTAAAATTGAGCTATACGTTATATTTTCATTAATATATTAAAAGTATTAGGCAGCAGAATACTGAATGTCATTACACAACTGCACAATTCTAAGGTTTACCTTAGTAATGAATATAATAGTGAGTCAAAAGTCAAAGGTATTCAAAAGTCAAAGGTATTCAAAGGAATACAGTGATAAAAGACCATCAGTTTGACAATTAAACACTTATTTTTTTAACCACCACCAAACATTTTCAATACGGTTGACTGAGAAATACTGCCATAGCAATTCAGAAGTAAATTCTTTAAAATCTCAATGTTTAAACAAGTTGATGATCAACTGAAATAGACAAAATGTTTATTAATGACAAAGAGCAAGAGAGTGGTAAACAATCATAAACATACTTGCCTAAAAGTCACCCTTGCTGGCTATTATACCTTAAATGACACCTCAAGATTTTTCTGACTGTGAGGTTTATTCAGTTCTTAAGTTAATATCACTTATGTAACTGATGAAAAAAATTATGTGTCACTGCAATACTCAAAGATTTTTCTAAGGGAAGTATTGCTTAATTTGCAATAACAAACAAAACTAAGAGGTTTGGGATCACACATATATGCGCAAATACACACTCCCTCACAAAAATAAAGTTTTAAACTGTGTCTACTTGAATTCTGCATTGCAAAGAATTGAGAAACTTTTTATGTATTTACTTCTGATATTAAATATGTTCAAATATTTCATTATTGACATAAAAAGTCAAATAGCTCAACTGATATATATTCAGAAATACTTTGTTTACGAATGGATCCAATACCTTCCTTCTATCCTAAGAATTGTTCTGATCACAATATTCTTCCACAAAAACATAGTTTCTCATTACCTACTGAATACAGTGGCATACTCTTTAGCTTAGCCATTCTAAGCTCTCCACAGTCTTTTTAAAATTAACATACCCTACTATATAGCAACCCAATGCACTCTATGCTGTAGTTATCACTGCTCCCTATCACTCTTCCCTTCCAGCAGTTCTCTTTAGTAGAATGGTCGCTCAATTTTACCTTTAATCTCTTAAGACACTATTTAGCCTTCAAAATGGCTCAAAAGTCATCAGCATCTCAAAACTGTAAGTAATTCATTTTCTGGTGGGACCATATTATTGTGTGTGTGTGTGTGTGTGTGTGCGTGTCTGTGAATTAATTCCCTCTTAATTTCTTGTCATTTATTTTTGTCCATAACATAGCTTTCAGAAAGTAAACTACTTTTATACACTTCCTAGTGCCTCATATACACAGTCAGTATGCAATACCTGTTTGCCAAATAAAATTAATGATTCATTACATTGATCTCTATATAGCACTGTTAGATTCTTGTTCTTGACTTGATTTTATTCCTGGCATTTAGATCATTAAGGTCCAAAACTAATCTGACTGATTTCCATAATCTGTTTAAAAGAACACTGCTACAATGGCTTTACTAAGGCTTCACTATTATAAAATGGCCTAATTTTTAGGCTTGGGTTTGACTGTAAATCCTCAATTTAAGATGGGGAACAGAAATAAAAGCTGAATTCTGTCTCAAGAAGGCTACTACTGCCCTCCCTACATTAGAGAGAGCCTTGGTTCTTTAGAAGAGCATGCTTTACTGGGGACCAGCAGTTGGCGTAATGGCTATGTCGCTGAACTCCCATGTAGTCGACTGCAGTTAGTGTCTTGGACCCAGTGGCTTAAACTCACACCAGGCGCGTATGCGTGGGTGCCCAAAATCCCAAGAGGAGAATGGAGGAGAAGGGATTGTGGTGTGGCCATCCCCCAGGGGGTGATTTCTCGCTTTCTGTCTCTCTGTCTCTCTCTGTCTTTCTAGCGAACACACGTACCCTATAGCAAAAACCTCTTCCAAAAAAAAAAAAAAAAAAGAGCATGCTTTTAACATTCTCTTCAATAAGCAATGTAGCTGCTAGCATGAATAGGTCAAAATACAATTAATCAAAACTATTAAGTCATCAGAGAAGTCATGATATATTTTTCTATGTTTTTCTATTAAAAAATGTGTCATGACTTTCCCAACAACCCAATAGAAATGTAAGAGTTGGAAATTGGAGATGAAGGGTGAACTGACAGAACACATTTAGAGAGTAAGCTACATTTTTTCTCCCTTTAATCTCACTAAGGAAGCCAAATATATACATAACTTTACCAAGGATTAAAAACAGAAAATATCAAATAATTAATTAAAAAAAAGAGAACCTCAGAGGCAAAACATAACTAAAAAGTCAAATTAATGCAGGGAAACAATTTAATATATACAGGAGATAAGCTAACATGAGAAAAAGATATGTATCTTCCAAATCCTCTAGAAACTGAAAACTACCTACCATGGAAATTATGAGGTTGTGTATCATTTTAGAATCACTGAAAATCTACTACATTTTTAAATAAGACATTCATTTGCCATAAACTTTCTAGACACATTTAAAAATGTAAGATGAGTTACACAAATCAGTACACTGGAAGCTTTACCAAAGTCCAAAGGTTTAAGAGTTCACTTGAAGCATTTACTGAATACCTAGCCTTACTGCCAGGCAACATGCTAAGCACTAAGGATCTGAAAAGTCATGTGAATCATATAATTTTTAGAAGCATATTTATATGCCATTTTCAAAGTTTTCTGGCCCAACAGAATAAATATATTTCATTTTAAATGCCCATGAAATCTGCATTTAAAAAAAAGGTAGGGGAAGGGACTGACAATTACTTGCATTAAAAACAAAACAAAACAACAACAAAAAGACACACTAAAAGAGACAGGAACCCTTTCAACTGTTGTTGAAAAAGGTCCTAAGTGTAAAGGAAACTTAACTTTAGTTCCCGTGGTGTTTGTACTAACAAGTTGTATTGACATATCTCTGGGAAAAGCTCAAGAAGTTTTTCAGTCTCTCATTTCCCAAAAAAGATGCTACCATCTGTCCTGTCTACCTCACAGCACTGTTATGAGTATAAAGTGAGATATCTCAAATTGTTTTATTTTCTACTAGTTTTTCGCAAATGTGAAGAAACATAATCCCCATCATTGATTAGAAAATCTAGTTAATTATAACAGCATGTCTAAAACTACTTTATAATTAATGTTTCAGCACATACTCACAAAGTTAACACTGTTAATCCATGAATTTCAAATAGTCCACACAAGCTGCTGATTGTTGAGGCTGACATATACAATACCAAACTGGTTATGAAAACTACTATGCTGCATTACGCATTTCATTTAGCTAATAAAAAAGTTTAATTTTTTTTTAAAAAAAACTAGTAATGGTACAGTTGATACCCTTTGGATTAATATAGTATATTCAAAAAACAATGCTACATTTTGAGGACACAGGCACATTGGCAATTTTAAATTGTCAAAAGATTGGTGCTTATTTGCCCGATATTGACATTTCTTTACAAAGCTACACATTTTAAAGCAATTAGTAATGTCAAGTGGTTCTGTTTCAAAATGTGATTTTCTCCATCAGAAAGGCATCACACTTAGCAAACATAAGAGGAGGCAAAGTGGAAAACCAAAGTAAAGGAGGGTACAACTTTTATAATAATAAAGACAAAAATCAAGCGAACAATGGACAATTTAACTATAATACTGAAATGTACTCTGTAACAAGAGACACAAACTGCACACTATTTTTGGCAATAGAAAATTCGAGGAAGTAGAATGATAGGTAAGAAATAATACTGACATGTAATAGGGCCACCAAACTGAGTATTCTCAGGGGAATGATATTAACTAGTATCTTCTAATATATTACTCTATCAGAAAGGTACCTCAAAAGAGAAGCTATTAAGAATTGTGGATTAAGATAGGCTCATCTTTTAAAACTGTTATGTGAATGCATCAAATTCATTTTTTGGTCTTTTGGGTTGTCTAACAGTCAGTCAGTAAACAGTCTAGCAGATGGTAAAGGATCAATAAAATAATCTTTTTAAAGGAAAAAAATTAAATAAGCCTACTCCCCAAGACACAGCAATAACCTGTTCCCCAAACCTTAAACGTATTTTCAGATTTTGAAGCTTTAAAGGGAAATGCATTATCATAGCAATCAAGGGTAGATTATAGAAATGTTGCCACTTTATATATATTTTGTAACAATTTCATTAAAATGGACTGTTGTCATCTGTTGTTTCACCCTGTGATAGGTATTTTAAAAGGTTATTCTAAGTAAGTACAGTACTTTTTTCCACTGATTCTAGCTCACTGAGTTTACTAAGGTGAAGATAACTATAAAATAAGAGAAGTAAAGAACTTTTGGGGTTACTTAGGCATGATGATTTTAAAAGACTCAAACCTTTGCTGAAGACTCCTTGAGTTCGATGAGACTGTCCTGTAGAAAATGAATGGAGATGACAGGTGAGCTGGCATAGTTCTCAGAACCCAGAGGAACTTTGGGAAGTATGGCTGTAACCTGGAAATAAACCAGCTACTTCTTGTGAGGATAAATTTCGTGATGTCATTATCAATATGAATATCAACAATAAAAACAAAAATAAAACCATGTAATGGAGTTGTAATGTTAAAAAAAACTAAATTATACATACTCAATGTAAGAAATAAAAGGCTTTCTCTATTCAGAATTTAAAAATAAATGTCAATGCCACATTTTTTCATATCTTTGTACTTAAACCCTTACATAACTTAAGAGCCTTAAGAAAGCAAAAACATTTTTCTCCACAAAAAAAGTTTTAAGTAGTGGAGGTCACTGTGGAAGAAAATTTGACGTATATTTTCACAGTTTTTCTTTAATTGGGAGGTTTCGAGTCTTACTTCATTTGTAATATAATATAAAAAATGTAATACATATTTTTATCCTAGTTGTAAAATTCAGTGGCATTATATTAACAATAAAACAAAATATACTGTAGAAAACAGTAATCACTTTTTTGCAAGGTGCCTATAATGGTGAATCTCATACCTCCCCAAAACAAACAAACAAACAAAAAAAAAAATAAGAAAGAAAGAAAAAAAGCATTTTTTAAAAAAAAGAAAGAAAAGGAAATCAATTACGGTATTCCACCACAGTGCTCTTGATGAAAAATTAGTAACTTACAGTTTTAAAAGTTCAACGTACTGCAAATTCAAGATTCCATGAAATTAGATGACTTTAGAATTAAAATTAAATATGGAGCAAGGAATGGCTACCCTGAGTCTTCAAGAAGGCTACACCCACGATTTTGTGCTGCAGTTGAATGCCTGGGGTTTCTCTTTTGCTGGGTGGTAGGGTTGGATGCCACATCTGCTTTTATCGTAACGCAAGGTTCAACTTGTTGGGAACCCAATGGGTATAAACAAACCTCCAAGGGAAGATACAACAGAAGCTGCATGCTCACTGAATATACACAACTACAGGAGAACTGATCACCAAGGAGACTTTAAAATGGAACTCTTTTCAAGACTCCTTCTTAGAAGGCACACATCGGTATGATGCTCATCAAGAAGCTTGATGAATTCAGAGGTATCTTGTTTATCCTGTATCATCCAGGAAGTCTTCAGTACTATATATTCTTCAATATTTATGCTGAAAAATAGGCTTCATTCTGCTGAAAAGATTCATTTGCTTGTAGCTACCATTGCACTCCAAAAAAGACTGCTTAAAGCAGTTGAGGCACTTCTGGATAAAATTTCTCTTGCACTTTGAAATGCTACAAAATTAGTGCTAGGTCCTTGAAGTTCTAGCATTTTTATAATAAAAATACTCAATAGGAAAAAATATCAGTCCACCAATACAGAAAAATTTCATTTTCTAATGCATTATGAAACCTCCAGTGGCTCCAGTGAATACTTGGCACAAGACTTGAAGGAAGTCAGGACACTGGTATCCAAACAGGTGAGCCTAACATGGACGCTGCCTTCCTCAGGCTATACTAACCTTTACTGTGGAGGAATGTGATGGAGAAGGGTGAGTATCAATTTTGCGTCGTTTTTGTTCTGTTAGGATAAAAAGAAATAGTCAGATAAGTTCTATTTCCAATTATGCCAAACACTTCTTAAAAATCACCAGCTTTTAAGTCTTCTAGTATCAGTTCCCCTAGCAAAATCCCTAGATAACTTACCAAAACAAGGAGACAACAACCAGCTATACATACAAATGACAAAATGCAGATAAATATAAAGAAAGCTATACTTGCCCCTTTCAGGCTCTGCAATATCTGATCGGGGAACAGGTGACTTCAAGGACCCAGAAACTGGTGTTTTTTCTCCTCCTTTAACATTTTCCTTTGATTTCATTTCCTTTGCTATATCTCTAT